ATGCGAAAATGTCAAAAGGTGACATATGATATGTCATTCTATTCAGAGTGACATTTTCTATCGAATAAAGTAAAAAAATACCGAGGGTGTCATTTAAAAATCAAAAGTTGTAGTCATTTCCGGTGAAACCGGAAGTGACCGAAAACAATTGAATACGTCAATCAATCCTAATTTATGTCATAGACTAACATACCAAATCTCGTTTTTTTAACTAAAAAAATAAAAAAGTTATAGGGGTGAGCCACTATTGAGACTCACCCGGTATAGAACGCTCTCCCTTTTTTTAATCACCATTCAAGTAACCTATTTAAAATTATCTACAACTTAACTACTTCATTCTTATTTAATTTTACATCCCTTATTTGGGCTAAACAAAGATTGGTCCATACTATAAACATTAATTATTGCCCTCAAATGAATAAATTAATATCTTGTACAGAATAAGCAGATAAGAAGGTACTTTAAATTTTTTGATGTAATTTTATTATTGTACCTACATAAATGACTTATGTAAATAAACACATATATTATTTATTAAAAAAGATTATTCTTCTTATCACGCCCTCTCCTGCCGAAGGTTGGCAATCCAAATGGCAATTGTGGCTCTGGAAACTGCAGCCCGGAAGATTTCCGCAGACGAGCGTTCAAACCATCTCCTCAAATCCTTTAGCCATGAGTTCTGGCGTCTTCCTACTGATCTTTTCCGTTGCACTTTGCCCTCTATTATCAGGCGCAGTATTTCGTATCTACCACCTCTCATCACATGACCCAGGTATTGCATTTTTCTTTCCTTGATGGTGTTCAGTATCTCTTTTTGTTTCTGCATGCGCTGGAGTACTTCATTGTTGATGATCTTTTGTATCCATGAGATTCGCAGCATCCGTCTGTATATATACATTTCGAAGGCTTCTATTCTCTTCTCGGTCTGTGAATCCAGTGTTCAGCTCTCACATCCATAGAGCAACACAGAAAAAACGTAGCATCTGGCCATTCGAGTTCTGAGATCCGCACTGAGGTCTCTTCTTGTAAAAAATGATTTCATTCTCACGAAGATTTTTCTCGCTTGCTCAATTCTTGAAAATATTTCTCTTTTCGGGTCGCAGTGACTATTGATGTTAGCTCCTAAATACTTTATTGGGGTCACTTGTTCGATTGTTTGTCCCTTGACACACAGGTGTGCATTTATTGGAGTCTTAGAAAAGACCAATAGTTTGGTCTTGGAGACATTGAGATGCAGTCCAAACATCTCACTATAGTGGACTACGGAATCTATAATGCTTTGCAGTTCTTGTATATCGTTGGCTAATATAACCGTATCATCGGCATATCTGATATTGTTTATTGGGATTCCATTAAACTTGATTCCGCCCTGGATTCGATCCAGTGCTTCTCTAAATATAGTCTCCGAGTACAGGTTAAACAGGAGCGGAGACAAGACGCAACCCTGCCGAACACCCCGTCTGATTTGTATATCTTCCGATGTTGACTGATTCATCTCAAATCTCAACTACCGCCGTTTGATGCCAATAAAGTTCTGATATGAAACGTAGGTGTGACAAATCTTTTCGGATTAATCACTTATCTATGGGTAGCGTGACTATTTTATAATTATGAAAAAACAATTAAGTTGAACGGAAGGCAAACTTGGATAAAAAGTACACCGACTCTTTGGAGCGTATGTTTAATGCTTTGTCTTAGTGCCTGTTAGTCTCTCAAATCTATTATAACTTACCTTAATTACGGTCCGACCTCTGTCTGTAAATATGTAGCTCATTTCTCGAGACTTTTCGGAACTGCTCTGGAGATATTCTGCCCGTTCATAAGGATCTTATTTTTATACTTTTAAAACACTCTTGTTTTTACTATCGAAATAAAACGGCCGAGTTTTTATTAAACATTTAAATTTAATATTAAAAAGAAAATAAAGAACAAATAAAAAAAAATATATATATGATCGAAATTACTTATTACTAAAAATGGAAAATAGATGGAAAGATACAAGAAAAATTGTCTGGTGTCTGCTTTGTTGAAAAATCTGATAATTACATAATCAATTGAACCTTCATTACTAAATCATACTACAACACATTAAAATAATTTTAGAGAAGAAAATTAAAACATTTGACAAAAGAAAATAAAAAAACTATTAGTAGACACCAGACTTAAAAACTACAGAGGGTCACATCGTGAACCTTACCGAATTTCATGAACCCGAGAGAGAACCGTCTCTTTTAGAAACTTAAACCGAACTAACTTTTCTGCCCTAAAAACAGCCCGAGGTTCCAACATTACAGGGTTGAAGGGTGGTGCATTCGGTACTTCGCCAATAGGATCATCCCTAAAGGTACTGTTCTTTGCTTGATTGGTCAGCTTGACACCGCCCTTCAAACCAAATTGGTTCGACCTCCCGTTGTTAGATGGCAGTACTATGACCATTTTACGTATTTAATTCTCGTTTATGTCTAGATACGTGCTTTCCTAAAGTTCCCAGATCCTTTACAAACATCCGGCGATAGTTACATGTTATCAAGGGTGGTTATTGGTTTTACAATGTCCCAGCGTTTTTATCTACGGTCTATCTTTACAATTTTCTGTTTACTTCTAAGTTCTGCAGTTTATTTGCTTTGCCCTTCTATAAGTTTGGGAATTTAAAAATAGTCACGTTTGAAAGATGTTTGTTTTATTACTTCCTGCTAAAAGACCCTCTCCCGAAACTAATAACCGAAAACATCGACTTGAACGTAAAGGACATAGGAAATAATCTGTTAATAATATAAATAATAATATAAAGGAAATAATCTGTTACATAGGTCTTGTTCGTCAACTCCGGTTGTTCTTAGAATTTTGATCATCTTCTGATGATTAACACAGTCGAACGCCTTACGATAGTCTTAAAAGATTATTATTTGAATTTTATTCTGATGGTGGCAATAAATAAATTTTAGGTAAATATTAAATCATGTTGTGTATTTTGCTCATTAATTTAGTTTTTTATAAATTTTCAATACTAAAATAGATACTAGAACTAGTTCAATAAATAATATTTATATACAGGGGAGTCTTAAATATCTGTTTGTGTGATGCATGTTTTCTCTTACCGTTTTTCAAATAAGTCCAAAATAACCGAGTTATTCAAGTTTGAAAATTGAAAAACAAATTGACACCGAATTTGTTCTGTATTTGCGTCCCTTTTAGTGCCGTAACCATGGTAATATCAGAGGTTAAAAAATTATACGTGGGAAAATTTGCGGTGAACAGAAAATACAAAGTTTTTAGCCGCGGATTTGCCTTTTGCCATATCAAATCGGTCAGTCCTGTAGCTAGGTCATCCCTCCATGTGTGGAAGGGGGCTATAGATATAGTTTCGAACTTCCCTCGAAGTGGACGGAGAACTTAGAAGTGCTCCAAAAAAGTCGAGGTTAAACATCGGTAGAAAACTATCGATACATCAATTGTATATTACTTACTAACTGCCATTACTCGCTGACGAGTAATGGACATGCATCAGAAGATGGTTACGCAAGGCGTTTTCTTTCATGAGCTTTTCTGTGACAGCTGTGACTGAAAAACCCGATACGTGATGTTATCTCTCTTCCGCACTCTGGACATTCAAAAATCGCATTACTTTGTTGCCTCTTTACTTTCTCGTTGTCGTTGTTTACTGAGTTTACAATTCTTCTCCATTGGGTTCTATTGTGCGCTGCTTCCTCCCACTGATTCTACACGCTTATCCCTTTTAAATTTTCGGGGAAAATATTCTTGTACCTTTTGAGTTGTCCATCCGGTTTCCTCTAACCGTCTGCAAGCTCACCGTAAAGGAGAGATTTCTGTAGACAGTTTACTTGCATCCTGCATACATGACCAGCCCATCTTAAGCTGGATTTAGTAATCATGACTTCAGCGCTCTCGCAGCTAGCTTTTTCAAGGACCGATACGTTTGAGACATGGTGGTACCATTTGACTCTTAACAGTTCTCTAAAATGTCTCTGGTTCAACTTATTTAATGTGTTTGTGTGCCGGCGGTACGGCACCAGGTTTCGCTCTCATATAACATGGTGCGGATTATTATTGCTCGGTAAACTGCAAGTTTCGATTTTGTACTTAAGTTATGATTGAAAACACTGTCTTTTAATTTCCAGAATGCTCTTGAAGCGCTGCTAATCCTGTGCTGAATTTCAAAGTCGAGATAGGTAGCCTTTTCTGAAATCAAACTGCCGAGGTAAATGAATTCCGCCACATATTCCAATATTCTTCTCCGATTTTTATAGCATTGTTATGATCTTCCGGGGGAGTGCACATGATTTTAGTTTTATCGATATTCAACATAAGGCCCAGGGCCTCCAAGGCTAGGTATATGTGTTTAGCATTTCTTGTAATCGCTGTAACGTTTTTGCAACTAGAGCGCAGTCATCAGCGTAGTGAAGTTCTGTGGTGAATTTTGTACCTGTTTTTGCCCTGAGTCTTTTTATGTTGAACAGTCCGTCGTATCTGTATCTTATGCCGATTCCTCTTTCCTGCAATACTCCGAACTTTTTCATAATACCCAAAGTGCATCCCTGTTTACAGTTTACAGAGTCAAAGGCTTTTTTTAGGTCGATGAATGCAAGATAAAGTTTACATTGCCGTTCGTTTACTTTTTCTTGTAGTTGACGGACGGAGAATATGGAATCGACGGTGCCGCGGTTGAATGAGAATTGTTTATAATAGTAAAACGTCGATGTTAAATCGATTTTTCAGGGACATCGATATAATCATTTGCATGCAGATAGTCCGCATGTCAACAAGATCGAAAAAGAATTATCAAGACTTTTTTTTGTTTTTAAAATTTTCAATGCATATCAAAACTTTCTGAAAATCCCTCGTACGCAACGAATATAACTATATTGCAATTAACAAAGCCATGCAGTAATTAGAGCAAGTATACGATAATTTCGCTTCTCGATCTACATCATGTGCGTATAATAAATTAGCAACTTGCAACGTGAATATTATATATCCAAGGTGACAAGGGGAGGAAGGAGAGTTTTCTAAAACCAGACAAGATAAGATAGACATGTTCGCCGTATTGTATGCTGTATCTATTTGCTAGTTACACGTTGTAAAGAGGTGAGGTAATATTTACCTTTTCCGATTTCTGTTTTGATGAATTTAACGGAATATACACTGATAAAAATAAGGTAATCTATTATTTTATTATTATTATAATTAGTGCATTAAATAATACATTAATATCTAAGAGAATGAAATAATATATAATATATTTTTGGATGAAACATTCCGAGAATCATATGTCCTTATTTTTGAAATTTTAGCCGAAATGTCTTTTGCTTTCAAACAATCTAAGAATATAGATATTCAAAACTACTACAAATACAAATACATAAAAAATAATTTAAGTATATATGTACATAAAATAATTTTATTAGTATATTACAATTTTTGTTTGTGCTTAAACCTAGGGATAAAAATTGGGATGCAGTATACAGGGTGTCCCAATAATCCATGGACATAGAGCTACTACGTATTTTTGGAATCAAAATAAGTTCATTGGACACAATTTACCTCTATACAAAACTGCTTCGTTGGGCCGCTAGACAGCATCAAACTAAAATAAATACATTTTTTCAGATATTTTAAGACCCGTTATCCCGATTTGAATGAGATTTTGGATGTGAAACTACCCCCACATAAAATTTAGTACAAATATGTTTCAACTTAACCGACGAACGATTTTTTTTTCGTAAAATGGTCCTTCTAGTTTTTACTACATTTTTTTCTCTTGTGAAAAAACGGCACCTCTTAAATACAAAAATTATTGATTTTTTAATTCTCCATATTTTGAAAAAATGATATACAGGGTGTTTCATTTAAAAAAAAACAAGAAAATTTATTTTATATTTTAGAAAGTTTTTAGAAGCCAAAAATGCAGTAATATACAGGATGTTAGGTTCCTGAAATACATCCTAGTACATACTTTAAGTTTGCACTTTAGGTTTGCATAACAAAATTTCCTTCCAAGTTTTTTATTCTAGGAACTACAGATGCCCGACGCACTATTGCCGGACCTTATATGTAAAGAGATTTTTTTTATAATTTATCGCCAAGACAGTTGTCTATGATATATGTCAAAACATTTTTTTTGGTTTTGTTTTAACTTTGTTTCTTCAATATAATTCTTGGCACACCTTGTATAAATAGCACCATAAATGTACTTAAGTTATACGATGTAAATTAATTAGGATTATAGGATAAAGAAAAATTAGGGAGTGGCCCTTTTTTGTGAATAAAAGGATTTGTGTACATTTTCTCGAGGGTGGCCCGAACTAAAATACTATCTACTTATCTGACAAATGATTTACACTAAAAAGTTCACAAATTTTACATTTCATGTGCGTGGCTGTGTATATCACAGCTATGTTTTTTAAGTAGAATAATTATTTAGGCATGTATCTGACATGCCTAAATTCTGACAATCTGAAATAATAAAAATAAATCGAATATTTGACAAGGTATTCAAACTAGAGCTGTTCGGTGTTGAGATTTGAACACCGGTGTTAGGTGTTGATGACCACCGGTGTTTCAGTCGGTGTACCGGTGTCAACACCGACGCCGGTGTTTATTTCGACACCGGTGTTTATCTTGACACAGGTGTTTATCTCAACACCGGTGTTTACCTCGACAACGGTGTTTATCTCAACACCGGTATCGCGATGAACACCGGTGTCGAGATCAGCACCGGTGTCGGTGTCGATCGTCGATGTCGATGGTGCCGTTTGTTTGTTTTTTTAGTTTTTTAATGTAATATTTTTTAGTTTATTTTACAGCTACGATTTTTTGTTTGTGTTTTGTTTTGTATTATATTTAAATTTGAAAGCTTTAAGTTAAAGTCGGTGCGCTTTAATAAACTATAAAAATAAGCACCGATACGAAATTATTATTATCAAGTTTATTTTGAAGTTATTAATTATCATTATTTCTTCTTTAACCCGTTTACAAAACACCGGTGTCAATATCAAAACCGGTGTCGTAGATGAACACCGGTATCGAAATGAACACCGGTCAGTATCAACACCAGTGTCGGTGTCAACACCGGTGTCGGTGCCAAAACCGGATAGTCTATATTTGGCCACCGGTGTCAGCCCAACACCGGTGTTAAAACGGTGTTCCGGTGTTTGGAACAGGCCTAATTCAAACAGCTACTCTCGTGCTGGAGTTTACTTTAATTTTTTTGTCCCCGAGTAATTCTGAAACCAAAATTATTTTACAGCTTAGACCAGTTAATTCATAAAATATGTTTTGTTATAGATGTGTCTGTCATTTTAATTTCAAAGTAGTTTATTTTATTTTACAAAGAAATAAGTTGTTTTAACTAAGTTGAAATTTTGATACAAAATATTGTGAAAAAAATTGTATAAAACTGAAAAAATGTAATCGAGTTATTTAATTTAATAAAAAACGGTATATATTAACACAAAACAAACAAGAACAAGACACCACATACCAAAAAAATATAAAAAAGAACTATTTCTTACTTTCAAGCTTTATGAAACTTCCCGCATTTATGATTATATTTATCAATATAACTTATGTACAAATACAAATTTTTAATATTCCGCAGCAATAAATAAAACATCATAAATAAAACAAACTATTTTATTATTAATAACACTTACCAAATTTTATAGGTACCTTAAAGGTTGATTAATTAACTTTAATCTTAATTTTTTAAACCAGTATCTTTGGCATTATTTTTCTTGTGCAGTACTAAAATCCATTATTTACGTATCGTGTGATGTCGATATTTTACAGCTACTCCAGTCTTTAGTATGTGTTTAGTATGGCCCTTCTACCATATTCGAGATGCACTTATCTACGACGAGATGGTATACCAACTTTAATGATGGTAACTTTATTGGTGTATAAGACTTTTTGCCTGGGCAGCGAGTATTAACCATAAACTGTGCTCTAGGTCTACAGTTAATTTTCACTCGATTTTTCCTCCACTTGACTTCAACAGACACAAAACACACGTAATAACACGAATCAAAATGCATCATCTTCCAAAACGCAGGGTATTTGACAAAACCTGACAAAACTGACAAAAGTTGACACAAAATTATACCCTCTAATTTGGCAAGACTTTGACAAGCGTCAAAAATCTAAAGGCGAGTTCATACGCATCGGCGTCCGTTTGTCGTTCATCGTTCCGTCAAACCAATAAAATTGAAATACGATCTGTCATTTTTGAAATAAACCAATAAAACTGGTTAAAAACAACAAGAGACGACGCATGACGGATTTATATTTAAACCCATCCATAGTTAACTTAAAAATTATTAGAAACTTATTTTAGTAAAATAAATAGATTGGTATGGGACGTCATCTGCTTTTTTTTCTGTCATCGTCTGTCGAAATCTTACCTGAGAAAAAAAACAGAGTTTATACTATATCAAAACACTTAAAAGAAAAGAAAATTACTTATTTGTTTGTCATATGAAATATTTAATTTAAATAATATTTCCTATTTACCTACAAATTCTCTACCAATTTCTGTACATATTACTATTGCAGTTAGTGTATTGTTATCTTTAACGTCAGAATACTTAAAAATTATATTTTATTATCATGAAATTTATATTTAGAATTATTAGTACTAACATTTAAACAGTAATATTGTTAATAACTATATTTTCTTTAGATCGTCGTAGCCATTATTATTCATAGCGTTGAACTGTATATTCAACGAAAAAATTATAGAAATATAAACTTGCTTGTTCATATTCCCCCCAAACAGCACCATATTTCTTAACCTGATAGAAACTTAAATTTCTTATGTCAGGATAGTATACATTAAAGAAATATTTGATTTGATGCTGTAGATATTTATGTTATATGAAAACATCTATATTAAGTATCGATAAGCCATTCAAGGTTTACGTACATCTGGTACAAAATACAAAGCAAAAGAAAACATATTAGTAATATAAAAAAGGACATTGCATTTGAAAGGTCAAATTCAAGGTAGAACTATAAACACTATAGATGTCTAATGAATATTCAAATCCAACTGTGTCTTCTTAGGAGCACATTCTACTAAAGGTTACTAATTGTTTGTTTATTGCACGTAGCTGATTTTTAATATACGAATATTAAAGAATCAAGCGTTTTTAATATGTATGAGAATACTCCATTGAAGGAAAGTCAATAATATGCATTTTAAATTAAGCTCCATTATATTAATCTTGAAACTATAAAAAATTATGTTTTTTTACTGTATCTATACAGGATGGACCTAACTGAAAATATTGATTTCGGTTTGTTAGAAAATCTGGAGGCCTCTATCATTCTGCATGTTATTGCCATCTCAATCCCTTGCCGAATGCTTAAAACCTTTACTAGTCTTATACAAAGTTTACTGAATTCAGGAAAAGGAAAACAATTCGAGAAAAAGGGGGGAGGGGGGCTAGACACCTTACCTTACTCAAAATACATAGTCCACAGCAGGGTTGTTAAGTAGTTTATGAAGCAAAAAACTACGCCAAAAACTACGCGTAGTTTTTTGTATTAACTACGTTTTACAATTTTAAAAACTACCTTCAAAAACTACACAGAGACTACACACAAACTACGTTAAAAACTACCTACAAAATATAGTAAAACATAAACAATTTAGACTTTAAACAAAAATCAAGCCAAATTCTTCTCATGGAAGTATGAAGTTATATTATATTTGTATAAGTTAAACAACATCAGAAAAAAAGACAATTTTCTTTTCAACAAAAGTGTATTTTCTGTGAAATACAAAGTAACATTGAACACAAAATAAACTATAAATTCTTATAGAGAAATTCTCCATAGACATTCTCCAGGAGAATATATGATTTTTTACATCTAAAGGCACAACTTCATAATTCCCCTCTTCCCAGAAGGTATGGAGCATGGTATGGCGACGTCGACGTCTTCCAACCATTTTTAACTACTAAGTTCTATGCTACTAAGTATCAAAAATATCACATAATAAGGAACAAATTCACAAAATATAGATTTTTTATTTCTTTAAATTGATCAACAAACAAAGTTTTTAGGTTATGTTTTCACTGTTATTTAAAAAAACTAGATTAGTTACATAAACTACACATTAACTACTCGACATTTAAAAAACTACTTGTAACATGTAGTAAATGTAGTTTATTACTTTATTATGACTACGTGTAGTTTAACAACTCTGGTCCACAGTCGTTTCTGACATAATAAATTAATAATATCGTATTACATGACTGAACTTAAGGGGAGCTTGAGCCCCCAAAGTCCCCCCATCGATCCGCCACTGACTGTATTAATTATAGAAATATTACTTATATGGTCGTTTCACTCCTGAAACGCCTTTAAGAAACATACTGGCATTACGATTCTTTTTAGTGAATCGAATAACACGATTCAATTTCTCATATTGAATCGACTCCTACGATTCGTTCATTAGAACGCGAACCACATGCACAATTTACCTTTAATGAAAACCAGAATGGTAACTGGCATTACCGGCGATATAAGGGGTCAGAAAAAGAAATATACAGTTCTTTCATTTGATTTTCAACACTTTATGGCACTGGCGTAATTGGATTGATTATTTTACCAATAATATTAAATTATCAACCTAATTCATATATACTATTTATTAAAGACTTCTTAATACCAATTTAATATTTTTAGAGCAAATTTTAATTCCGATTTAATAATCATATAATAAATAGTCAGTATAATACTGCATGATGAAAAAAAAATGGCGTCCAGTTAGTTTGGAAATGAACATCGATGGCATCCCTCATATAATTTTACATGAAAATCGACAGCCATCTTCATTTTATAACCATCGCTGACGCCATTTTTTTATCATATTGAGCAGACGCCAACAATATTTTTTTGGAGTTGGATAAAACGATTTCGGTTTTTAGTTCGACATTTAATGGTTTTTAGTTGGTAAATATTATTTTAGCAAAAATATTAACGTGAAAATTAAATGCATTACAGATACTCCCGTACTAAACACAGTATAAATAAGTTTTTTCTTGTAAACATAACTCTCTTATCGTTTGCATTTTATATCCATGATGTTTGTTTAGGGCTTTTGTTCAAGTCTAAATATTGGTGGCCAATTATCTCTATGCCTCTATCACCGTCGCACCGTAGAAATGAACGATCACATTGTGATTCGATTCAATTCCTACGACTCTTTTTTAGGGCTCATCATTCAGATTGTATGGATCCGTGCTGGCCACGATTCAATTGAACGAACCGTATTCTAAGCAGTGATAATCGAATCTCACGATTCATTTTTAATACTCGTTCAAGTGAACGACTCGTTCAATTCTTGCCCACCTCTAGTATTTACTACACTTTTTGTCTCTTGTAAAAAACGCCGCCGCACATAGTTTTCAACCTTCCCATACTTTTTCTTGATTTTTGTGTCAATGTCAAGTCAAATGTTAAATCACTAATCATTTAGCAAAACATAGACACCCAAAATATCATTCAAATCGGGATAACGGTTCTTAAAATATCTGAAAAAATATGTTTATTTTTTTGATGCCCTATAACGGACAAACGAAGAACTTTTGTATAGGGGTAAATTGTGTCCAATGAACTTATTTTGATTCTAAAAATACGTAGTAGTTCTATGTCCATGGAATATTGAGACACCTTGTATAGATGTTGCATGCGTCCATCATGCGTCTCACTTTTACGCTGTTTGTATATGGTATCAACAGTTTCATCAAAGTCGAGTTTGACGGCTTCATAGCATCTGATTAAGTTAGAAGACAGCCTCCTTACTTTGATGCAACTTTGATTTTAAAAAGGATGGATTTGGAAATTACATCAACCTAGTAAAAAGTTATTTGAATAACAGACCCCAGAGAACAAAAATCGGAGACATAGAAAGCAATAGTAGCATAGCTCCATATGACCTAAGGCGGCAACTTGCCACCACTACTATACATTCTATATACCCTATGATCGAATAAAAACGGCGTCAACGATGGCTATGAAATGAAGATCGCTGACATTTTATATGTAAAATTATATGGAAAATATCATCGATCGTCATTTCCAAGCCAACTGGACGCCGTTTTTTTTTTCGATCATAACCTACTAATGATTTATTTGAACAAAAATTTTTTGGTAGAATGTTTGCGTATGCTGACGATTTATGTATGGCGTATAATGACAAAGATTACAACAATTTACAAGTGAACCTAAATAATGATCTGAAGAAATTTGAAATGTGGTGCTTCAACAATTCACTAACTATAAATGAATCCAAAACAGAATTTATAAGATTTAATATAAAAAAGCAAACAAAAGACTTAAATATAATTCTAAACAAGCAAAAAATAAAATAAATATCTGAAGTCAATTACCTCGGCATTAAAATCCATAACAATTTAAAATGAGACACTCACTCATATAAATAGTTTAAAAAAAGAAAACTCCTGAAATTAAAAACATAATACCACCAAATATGAAGAAACCAATATATCATGCATTATTTTTATCAAGGAATATATATTTAATTAATACGTGCAGTAATACAACAGAAAAAAACTTAGCATGTTTAAGTTTTTTTACATAGACAACAAAAAAAAATACTAAACATATTATTTAACCTAGATAAACTAACACCAACCGAAGAAGTATACCAAAAAACAAAAGAACTAAACATAAGACAATTAATAAAATATCATAATATAAAAAAATAAATTAATAAAAACAAATATTTATCTAAAAACCAACAAACAAATTCACACTTATGAAACTAGAAGAAAATCAGACAAAAACTTTCACAAAAACTAACAACAGAAACTACCACAATATATAACATGTTACCAAAAGAATTAACACAATTAAATTATAAAAATTTTAAGAAAAAAAATAAAAACATGATATTTGAGAAGAGCGTATAAACGTAGACGACATAAACCAAATTATAAAAAAAGAACAATGCCTTCGATACCACCTGCTCAGGAAGAGTCTTAAAAGCCTTCAAACTGTTGCAGATGAAGAAGGACACAACCAACAACTGCCACGAAGATAAAGTCTAACAATATTATTGAATTGTATATTTTTAAAAAGTTGTATATATTTAAGTTAATAAATATTATATACACTGTGTCAATTTTAAAACTTCCCACCCTTAATATCTTTCTTGCAGTTAAAAATATGAAAAATCGGAAAGACACGTCAATTTTATTTGTAAGGGGGACACTTAAATGAATATTTTGTACTGCAATGTATTAAAATAATTTTAAGTGTAAACAGTAGCCTGAAAACCAAAATCTCAATGCAGGCATGTTTAATTGTTTTTGCAACTTTGACACGCGATTATTCTGAAACATCTGGATAAAAAGCAACAAAGTAGGATACCACTAAAAAGAGAATTAAACGCCCTTTAAAAAGATGTGCCACTTGACCCCCATTCCCATTTAAGATTGTAAAGGTGATATCTACCCCTCCTAAGGGGTTGAAAGAAAAAGCCTAAGAATATTCATTTAAAGTGTCCCCCTTACAGATAAAATTGACGTGTCTTTCCGATTTTTCATATTTTTTACTGCAAGAAAGATATTAAGGGTGGGAAGTTTTAAAATTGACACAGTGTATAATTAGAAAAAGCCTTCCAATCCGACTTTGATCAAACAGTCAATAATATACAAGCAGCGTACGAGTGAGACTCAATCCAAGTGTACTTGGTCCAAGTACCTATGACCGTGTCAACCAGGCTAGTTATTAATCGAAACGTTTCGTACAAAATAATTTTATAATTTAAATATCGTGAAAACATCTCTTAGATTTCTTCTTCATAGTTATTTAAAAATGTAATGCAAATACGCATGAGTTGATGCATTAATTTTAAAATACAACAAGGTCGATATAGTTCAGACCCAGCTATCAGTAGATAACCATAAATAGACTCCCCTCGATAAAGGTTTTTTAAATGTCCCCCTAAAAATCCGATCCACTCGCCGAAAGCAAAGATACAGATCAATAACTAAGCGCATGGAATTTAAATTTACAAACATAACCAACTAGTGGCTGTTAAATGCCCTAAATCCACACTGTATTAAATACAGTCTAAACAGATACAGCTGTCGATAAAAAAGCTGAAACTTTTTGTTGTACAGGGTGTTATAAGAGTGCAATCCATAAAAAATGTTTTACAAAGTATAAATTAGGTATGGGATAGTCTAGTTAAAATAGTATATACGTTATAATAGTATTAAGTTTTTAAACATATTTATGTTTGCAGAATTTCCATCACTTCCGATAGTAACTGATTAAATTGAAAGAATGGCAGATTTGCAGCTTGATCTCAATCAGTCGTTAGATTTAAGAATTGCCCAGTTTAAAAATGACCCGGAAAAAATGGCTGATGTAAATGATTTTCTCAATGAAATTTTTGAGAAGGCACAAAAAGAAGCCGACCGCAGATCTAGTGGAGGAAAGAAAGGAAAGCTTGTAAGTCGAATTGCAAAAAAATATGTTATTTTAAAAGCGCCGTTCTTTACTAATACTTCTAATCTACTATGGCCTTTGCATGTATCTATGAGATGTTTTTAATACTCTTTGTTTCAAAATCTAAACGCTTTCATTTTTTTTAAATAATTTCAATTGAAAAGCATGTTCTCAGAAACTATTTTTTCCTTGAAAGACTTTGTTTTGTTACAAATGCATAATTTTGTTGTTAGTTTCAATGTGATACATTTTGTCTATTTTTACTTCTTTTATTTATCTGTTAACTATATAATTAACTATTATGATTTACTGAGTTTCATTCAATAATTCAGAAAATTAAAAATGTATGAGTGGGCAATATTTAGGCAGATATATACAGAGTTGCTCATACGTATGAAAAAGGTCGATTATTAGGTAAAATATACGAGGTACCGCAAAAAGTGAAATTATAGGGTTTTCAAATATCTATTAGCGAGTAATAAATTTAAGTATAGAGGGTCATAAAGTCGTGGCACATCGATTTTTTAATGGAACCCCTGTATATTATTGCTTCAATAATTCTTCCTTCAATTCTAAGCAAAAATCGAAATACATGTAATCAAATGTATCTCAAGCCAACCGTTTCCAAGTTATTGACTTTTGAAAATATCACTTAAACAATAATTCGATTTAATTAATTTCGATGTGTCAGGTTTGCATTTATACGTTCCATACATGTGTACGGCACCTAGCGCAATCCCATTGGTCAAATTTGATTTTTAAACCAATTAAACTCCGAGTGCCTTACGCGAGTATGAAATGTAAGACAGTGCCATGCGTACTTATGTACCTATAGCTAATCTATCAAGAGTAGCTGTGGCTCCGTGACTGAGACCATCGCTTCGTGAACGAGTGGTCCGTGGTTCAAATCTCACGCCGGACCATAACTTTTTTATTTTTTTACAACTGTGTTTATTTTTTATAAAAAAACTTGTAAATATTTAATAGCAATCAAAATACGGATTGCGTTGGTTTCACTCTTTTTGGTAGGGTTAGATTGATTATTTGGTGGAGTTAGTTGCGTTGGTTAAGATGGTTATTTGGTGGGGTTGATTGCGTTGGTTAGGTTAGCTATTTGGTGGGGTTGGTTTGGTTTTGGTTGGAATGCTCTATAACAAAGCGTTAACAGTAATATCTAAGGTACATTCCGTAAGTGCATATGGCACTGTCTTAAATTCCATACTCGCGTATGGCACTCTCAGTTTAATTCGTTTAAAATTCAAATCTGACCAATGGGATTGCTAGGTGCCGTATACATGGTACGGAATGTATCAATGCGTCCGGTTTCATTTAACAATGCCATTCTGCGGAAACTGCGATACTTAATAATATTTGACATTAGTTTTCAAGTTAGCATTTATAGATATTATATAATATCAATAGTCTGGAGAAAATATTATCAAGTCTGGAAATTACAAAATTTTCGTTTAACATGTCATAATCAAAACTTCATAATTCGGAAATGGTTGATTTTAGGTACATTATGTGTATTACGATTATTGCTTAAAATTGAAGGAAGAATTGAAATATGCAATAATATACAGGGGGTTGCATTTAAAAAAAATAAATTTTGATGTGCCACAACTTTATGAGCGACCCAGCACATTTAAATTTACTACTAGCTACTAGACATTTAGAAACCCTATAACTTTTGTATCTAACTTTTTGCGGTACCTTGTATATTTTGCCTAATAATTGACCCTTCCCAAATCCGCCACCCTGTATCTATCAAAAAATATTTTAACATCAAAAATATGCGTGAGAAGATCTTCTAAACCTTAAATACATAAATAAATAGAGAAATTAATTTGACTATGAATAATGTTTCTTTAAATCTTATCAATATTAATCAAGTATTTAATATAAGATCAAAAATACAGACCCATAAAATAAATCCAACACCAATAACGTTTCAATAAAGTTATTTATGGTGAACCAAACATACATATCTATCATCATATTTTTAAACGAAATGCCATTTAATTAAAAAAAATAATTCTAAAAGATTTATTTCATAATCTCTATTTTTACGTACTTTAATATTTTAGACCCTTTCATAAAATATAATCAGATATTATGCGTGGGAGCTAAAAAGCTTTTCAATAGTGATATAAATAGATTTATCTTTTACAACATTAATTATTCATGTTTATCGCATAGCTTTTTAAGCTGTTACTCTTTGTGATATTATTGTTGATAAAAAAGTTATTTCTACATATACTGTAGGATATATCATACAGGGTAACTCAGGCTTCTGAAAAAGATGTATTTTAGGTTTTTGGTTAGTGAATTTTTTTTCAATTTTTTTACATAATGGCATATAGGCAATGGTAACACACATTTTAAAAATATTTTTGTCAACATATAGGGTGATTCAAACATATTTTTAAATCAAAGCTGTCTATTTTTAAATGGAATACTATATATCTTTTAACTCAGTGCATTTTCCATTGTTGTTCAAAATATATATTTCATAAACCACTCGGTATAGTATATGACATTATGGTATTTTTGGAATGGAAATTTAATGGAAAATCTAAACTGAGTTAAAAAAATTGGCGCCCATACTAAAATATGTCAATATCTCGAAAACTGCGACTTTGACTGATTTTGATGTTATTACAAATTTTGTTGCAAATATTATTCCTAATCTTAATTTGAAAACCGCATTTCGCTAGCTACTGTAATTTTGGAGTTACGATTTTTTTAAATTTTTAACCCCCTCCTATACCTCCTTACCAACCCCCCACCCCCACCAAAAACTAAAAACAGATTCTCGGGTGCCACAGTATTTTTGTGCCAAATTTGGTTAAAATCGGTTCAGCGGTTTTTGAGTTATCGTGTTACAGACGGCAGACAGACAGACACACACACAGACAGACAGACAGACAGACAGACACCACGAAAATATTTTGTATTTAGGTCATTTACGACCCAAATAACTCATTTTGAGTAAAATTAAAAAAAATTTTTTTTTGCCGATCCTAATAGCCTACCATATATATTGGTATGGTCGGCTAAAAATATATAGTATTCGATTTAAAATATGTTTGAATCACCCTGTATGTTGAAAAATATTTTTAAAATGTGTGTTACCATTGTCCCCATATTATGTAAAAAAATTGAAATGAACATCGCAAACCAAAAATCTAATATAAAGCTTTTTTTGGAAGCATGAGTCACCATATACAGGGTATGAGTCACCATATACAGGGTCCGGCAATAGTGCGTCGGGCATCTGTAGTTCCTAGAATAAAAAAACTTTGGAATTTTGTTGAAGTATAGACCTAAAGTATGTACAAGGATGTATTTCAGGAAAATATTTTAACTTCTATAGGGTGGCTCAAAAATGTGTGAGTGAATCGTGATGATTTTTTTTAAATGGTGCATATATTATTGCATTTTTGGCTTCCTTTTAGATCACTTTACATAATCCCAAGATATGAGTAAATATATTTTGATAGTTTCAGAGATATTAATAAATAAATAAAAGATAAATATTTCCCAGCCTTTCTTAAAAATGTTATTAAAAATACAAGAACTGTCCTGAAATCAAAACTATAATAGATATTTAATTTAGATGGTCTATGCTTACTTTGCTATAAATATGGTAATCTTAAATCATACAAGGTGTCCAAAATTCTATGCCAAACTTTCCAAAATATAAAATGATTTTTCTTCGTTTTTTTAATGCTATATTATTTTTTCAATAGATGGAAAATTAAAAAATTAACATTTTTAAAGTATTTCAAAATTTTTAATGGTTTCGCAAATACACGCAGTATTATTTCATATGGCTCTTTCAACGGTAAAATATGAGAGAAAAATCACTGGGTGGCTTTGATAAAAATATTTACTGTGGAAAACGCCATATGAAATATAAAACCGCGAATATCTTCGAAACAGTCAAAAAATTTGAAATACTTTAAATACAAAAAATGTTAATTTTTTAATTCTCCATCTATTAAAAAGATAATATACAGAATGTTCCATTTAAAAAAAAAGAAAAAAAATTATTTTATATTTCGGAAAGTTTGGCGTAGAATTTTGAACATCCTGTATGATTTACAATTACCATATTTACAGCAAAGTAAGTACAGACTATCTAAAGCAAATACTTAATACAGTTTTGATTTCAGGACAGCTCTTGTATTTTTAATAATTTTTTTAAGAAAGGCTGAAAAATATATATTTTTTATTTATTTATTAATATCTCTGAAACTATCGAAATATATTTACTCATATCTTAGGTTTACGTAAAGTGATCAGAAAGGAAGCCAAAAATGCAATAATATACGGGGTGTTGTATTTAAAAAAAATCATTCCAAACCACTCACACTTTTTTGAGCCACCCTATAAAAATTAAAATATTTTCCTGAAATCCATCCTCGTGCATACTTTAGGTTTGCACTTAAACAAAATTCCTAAGTTTTTTATTTTAGGAGCTACTAGAGCCCGACGCACTATTGCCGGACCCTGTGGTACGTATATGCAAACTTCGGAATGTGTGGACCAAACTTTAGCAGACTTGTGTCTTACGAATTGTTACAAGACCTGTCTTGTCAAAGTAATTCCCATAAGAAATGGCACTGAAAACAATTCTAATAATAAATTACGTTAGAACATTTTTAACTATCAAATTGAAATATCACATGATCATAAAACATCTGTGTTTAATCTAAGCTTTAAAACCATAATTTCAAATTAAGATTTCCTGTTTATATGAAGAGTGGGCATAAAATGGACACTTTATATTTAAGTTTTTAGAAACTTAAAATAAAATATTTTCTTGATAGGAAGCCGTATAATATAATTATTACTATTACCCACATTATAAAATTTGATCCACGCAATTCGTGAGAATTTTCATTATTAGACTACTTTATAATGTATTTTAATTGTTTTTTATTCTATGATAAGGACAGGAAATAGTCTTACCATAAGTATATCTACCTATGTAAACCGCATGTTTGTTATTGCAAGTTGTGTCAATTTTAATTAATTTCAAAAAAATTAACAAATTGTAATATTATTTGCAGGATGCTTTAGGGATACAAAGTAAGTTACTATTTTTTTCCTGTAGATTTTTTATTATTTTTAGTTTATTTTTAAAAGGCATGAATTATGTTAATAACTATTTTATTAACTTAACACAGCAACCACCTGCTTCTTTATAGTAATATATCTCACTACTTAAACACTTTTAGGGAGAATTATGACTTTCAAGCAATTCACACACACACAATATTGTTTTTATTTTTGGTAGATAAAGTTAGTTTTAAGTTTTAATCATTGTCTAAAATTGTTAATTAAAGTATAGTAAAAAAATATATTTCCAAAACTTAAAATCCTAAAACTGCACGCAGTGGCGCAACAAGAGGGGGGCTAGGGGGCGCACCCTAGCCCTTCTAAATCGAAATTAGACCCCCCAAGGACCCCCCCTGACGATTGGTGCGGGTCGTTTAAAAATGGTTTTAACCTCATATCAATATTATCTTTTAAGTGAGCTGAGCCCCCCCAAAAATATTTGAGCCCCCTTAAAAGTCGGTGTCTAGTTGCGCCACTGACTGCACTGTGTTAAACTATTTAAAAATCATCTAATTATTTCTTATTTTTGAATGGATTTACATCAAACCATGCTAGATGCTAACAAAAGTATCGTTTACAGTTTTCTCTTAAAACAATACGAGAACATTGCTTTTAAAAAATGTCCTTGGACCATACTTTTGTCGACATCAGGTCAATTAATCATTTTCCCAATCAGCTCGATATATTGATGATGTTATCAGTATTCCTCATTAAGCAATACTACTCTTATATTAATCAAGTAAGGCCGTAAACAATCATAACATATACAATTTTAAATTTTATACAGGTTGTTAATTTGTTTATTACTCGCGGCAAGAGCTTTATGGTTGAAATATGGCAATCTCGGCCCGGTCGTCGAGAGACGACGCGACGGGACGAGTCGGCAACTTAGCTTAGTACTTATTTGGAATGTAGGCAGTGTTGCCATTCTGTTTCCCAATAAGTAACCGTCCAGTTAACAATCTGTATACTAATTCATTATAATAAAATTAAATAATAAAAATATTGTAATTATATTTCTGCAGATTGAGTGAAAAGTGTTGTTCATAAATATCTACTATAATATGTATACGGCAAATAAACGCGTATTCAAATATTAATCTAATCGTAATTAAAGAAATATATTCGTAACAACAGATATCTAATTTATAAATGTTACTTATTTCACTATGATTTATGAAAAAAAAAAGTTTTTTGTCTAGGGTATAGAAACCGACATGTCGTGGAAGTAACTCGAGACAAAATTAATTGAACAAGACAACAGGAGACAACCGAAAGTCGCCAAAAAAATGCCCTTTGCCCTTCTCCGCAATTTCACGAATAATTTTGAGGCATTTTTAAGAAATGGTAAAAAGGCCGAGACAACCGGAGACACTCCAAGATGAGACAGAGTTAAACGAGCAAACACGACCTTCACCTGCTTCGGGCTGTTTCGCGCGAAATGTAGAGGGTGTAATAAATTAGAGCCTGATCCACCAAAAATATCACTTTTTTTATAGTAAAGCCACCACATACGAGTAAAGTGATACAAGCTACAGCGCAGTTAAATTTTTAAAGCCCAATTTAGAATTATTAAAACTTATCAAAAATACCGTCTCTTTATAGTTCCTATTCATTATGGCCATGCTTGTATTAAATATCAATCCAGTAAGAACCAAACTGACAATAATTCAATAAAATCACAGTTGCAAGTAGTGAAGGTTCCTCAATAAATGCACATGTGCACGTAAATCCCCATATTTCTTAGCTCTTCTTAAGAAAAAAATAGTTTAAAATTTCCATTCTTTCACTGATTCTATTTATTCAAAAAATCATTTGTTATAGACTTGAATACAAACAAAATCATCGCTGAATGTCATATCTGTCGTTAAGGCTTAAAAACTCTCAATTGTTATAAATATGGTGAATATTCAAACACGCGTGTCATCTTTCATGAGGATATTTTTCGTTATTCAGATTCATTCACTGCGTGGCCTGATAGCGTCGTTCACTGCTCATGGGAATATTAGATCTAAATGGTCAAACCTTTGCCGTCCGCACCGTTTGTTCCCCGCGACACTCTAGCGACATTAGATGTATGGCTCTTGTGCGCATGTAATCCGTGCACTAGCAGTTGACGATTTGAATCAAGTTATTAGCATCGTGATTATCAGCGTTATCAATTATCGGACATCTGATTTCACGAACTACAAAAATGATACAAGCATGCCATATCTAAAGACAATACATTTCAATAGATGGTGTTCTTAAATAAAGATTCTTTTATTTGTTCTCCAAAGTCTTATTTGGTGTGGTTGCGTGACAATTTTTTTCTAAAGTTGTTACGCGCCACCACTGGTTACAAAACAATTTATGCACTATTCTAGTCGTTGAATAATTAAAATTCAGTAATAAAGTAACAAAAGAAAACAGTAATTCAGTACGACAATGCTGCAAAATAATAATTCAGTGAGTAAAATCAATAATAGACCCTAAAGCGCAGTATAAGCATTCAGCATTTCATTAAAGGTTAATATACCTGTTTGTAGTGAGTTATAAATCTAAATGCCCTCGACCATCGATAGCTTACGATGTTAACCTATTTGTTGTTCTTTTGGCATGCACGATTAATGGGTGCATTGAATGTAAGGTTTATGCGGAGAAATTGTCATTGAGGAAAGTATTGTGTGATCGGATATAATCGACGTCACAATCGGTGTAGAACTTTTTTTTACGTTTCAAAAAATCCACGAAAGAAGCATATAAAATAGGATAAGAGAGTAATCAGTTGCTGATTTTGTTTTTCGTTAAGTCAATAAATCTTAATATTATTCAAAATCGTCTAAAAAATATACAATATAATCGTGTCAGCGATTGCTATGAAATAAAGATCGCTGTCATTTTATATGTAAAATTATATAGGGAATGCCATCAATTGTCATTTTCAAGCCAACTGACAAAAAAAATTGAATAAAAGTTGATAGGTGTTGACTAAACAAAACAAAATTTGATATGCGACTGTTTATCAATTAGTCACAATTCATCAAACTATGATACCAAAGTTATAATTTATAAAAATACTATAAGCCTGGTGACTACTAAATATTGCTGAAGAGGAGGCATTTAAGGACATGCACGACAATTGTTTCCTATATTTAAAGAATAAGTATAATATATTAAATCACGGTGTTGTTGCACTCTTTCTTTATTCTCAACATAACATTAATAGTTTTGTTTCCCAAAAATGGTCTAAAAATTATTTTTTCACGACTTTACAACAAAAGTCATTTTTTGATTTTTCTGAAAGTAAATCTGCATCCGATGACAGATTTCACAAAAAAATGAAATCAAATAAAAAAGAGAATTAAATATTAACAGCTATTCAACACTTTAAATTTAATCCGCCACAAAATAATAGCTAGTAGGTATTCAGAACATATTCAACCTCTATAGACCAATTAAAATACTTTTTCTATTTAAGTATTTCCAAATGGCCGAGTTTTATAATTCGATAGCAATTCCTTCCAGCATAATGCAACTCACTTATCGATTTTCTGTAAATTATTGTTGAATACACAACAACAAAGACAATATCAACTATGCCAGATTTCCAGATGCATTGGCTCGCTAAACTGCTGTTATATCCTTGTTGCAGCTGGGTTATATTTTACAAATTATTTCCCTCATCGTGAAATGGACCAATCAGCTAATCTAATTTTTCGAATAAATTTTGTTTAGATAAGTGATTAATCCCAAGACCAGTTTAACCGCGATTATTTTTTCGGCTTCCTTTTTGGGTTTTCTTTTTGTCGTTTATCACTAATTCTGAGAGATTTTGGCAACAGTTCATTTAAAAACATTGATTTACAACTCATATGTATGACTTAATACCGATTTTAATCAGTGAAAATTTTGATTTCGGTGAAAACCCCTTATTCTATATTATTTGAACAAATAAGTGGAGAAAAATACGTCAGAATTTGATATGTTGACATGCGAAACGGTCCTCGATGCATTGTTGGGATGCGTAACCAAGGTAGCAGATACATTACTCATCATTACCATGGTACAAAGAATACAAGGTATGATATTGCACAGGTTGGTCATTACGTCACAGGTGATAAACGGCACTATTGGTCGGCAAGCTCTGCGCGCCAATTTCAAATTGTCAAACAGATTGTGTCATCTGTGAAATTTGATTGTGTCAAAATGTGAAAATAATTTGTCAAATGTCAAGCTCGATGTCAAAACATAACTTTTGGGGTTATGTCCTAATTCTTCCCTATTTTAGGTCTTTTTTTATTAGTGGCAATTGGACAATATGGATATTATTTTGTATGGCGTATGACGTCACAGGTGGTATGCGCAAACTTAACGAAATTGGAGCCGCTATCGATCATACCTTGTTTTCTTTGTACCATGCATCATTACTTACGAGACGTCATTTTTTGTCATTTACCTCAATTTACCTGTGACAGCCTGTGACCAAGAATATTATAAATTTAGAATTTGTTGTGTGTAAAACAAATGTTGTCCGAAAATGTGAAATTTTATAGTTAATAAAATTCTTATAGTTATTTGCTTCATCCTAAGTCCTTCATTTCTAAGTAAGCTTCATTTCTAAGTCATTCAGGAAATAATCTAGCCGTATATCACTCAACCTATAAATTTAATTAATTAAACTACCCAAATAATTTTTTGCATGATTTTGCTTTTTAGAAAATATTTTCATGTACAATAATTTTAGAATAAAAACCCTCGTCTCGGGTTTGCTGAATGCCACCCTGAACATCAGTGTTATAAATGTTAATAAAAGGTGCAAAAGATCAGAAAACCGAAATTTTAAATAATTATTCTAAGTTGAGAAAAGCTACATAAATACGTGCACAAGCACAAACAACCTGTCGAAAAGTAGAAAATAAAGTTACAGAAACCAGTCTGTAATTATGTTAGGAATTTTGCTAATCTGGATGACTAAAACTAATTCAGTTATCATATTAGCCAATGTTTTTGGGCTAACAGGCCGGTTAAAAGATGCCCAAATCGTATTTCTAATCTTAACTCAGTTTTTTAAAACGGAACAAGTGTGGCTCATTGATATATTCGGAAAAGCATCTTTTTACGAATAAAGGTTAATTCTCACTATACCTTCCAATACCTTCCGCTTCCATTCCATATCCATTCCATATCTGTTCCGTATTTTTATTGTAAATTGACGCTATACGTAAGCTTCCGTTCCACACTTTTTATTGTTCGATTTATATCATTACGAAAGTTTTATTTAAAAAAAAAATGTTTCTTTTGAAAAAGGTAATAGATTTAATTAAGAGATGAAAGAATAAACAAATATCAGCAAAATGTTAAGAGAGCTGGAACAAATGTAAGAATTTGACAACGCTGTCTCCGATACGCTTCAGTCCGTCCGCTAAAAAAATATATGGAAGGAAAGGATATGGAACGGAAGGGAAACGGAACGGATAGTGTGCAATATCCTATTCATTTACATGATATAATATTTTATGTAAATGGGAGGGAAACGGAAGGTAGCTGATATGGAAGGTATAGTGAGAATCAACCTTAATTTGGTACCACAGACTTCGTATTTCTATTCAAATTGTCGTTATATTTCTTGACGTGGCACACTAGATTGAAATTTAAAATAATCTTAGACAAGGAAAGAGAGGGGACGGCTAACACGCATATTCTCCCGTGATCGGTTAGTGAGGCCAAAATTCGATCGGCGGACATACTTTGGTGACAAGATTTCGAGGTGACACCGAGAGAATTTTTATGTTTTTTGTTACAACTGTTTTGTTTTAAATTTATAAACTGTATTGTTTAGTATGGTGAGATGTTCAGCGTATGGCTGCAAAGGCCGAAGCGAGAAAAAAGTGGCTGGAATTACATTTCACAGGTAAAAATCGATACACAACTTTTGTTATGTGGTCATAAAATGTACATTTTTTCATTATAGCAGTAAAAATATGTAAAATGCTTTTAATATGTTTTGTACCACATCCAAACCAAACTATTTTTAATAATTCCAAGTAGTATTTTCAATATTCTTTATTATAATTAATGTTTGAAACTATAAATAATGCTACTCAGCATGGATTTCTCCAGTGGCGTAGGGAATTATAATCAGAGAAATACAATTTCTGCAATAAACTTTTTTTATATATTTTATTTTACATAAAAAAATGTATAAAGTATTGTTATCAAATATGTAAAATAATTGTAAACTATAAAAAAAATTAAAAATTCTAGTGATAAAAAATCTATATGTATAGTTGTTATATAAAACTTAAATTTACCTGCCAAGATTTGCTGGGGGTGGACAAACTTGTGGTGGGCTACTTGTTACTACATATATTTTTTTAAATATGCTTTCAAAAAATTTGCTAATTTAGGTGTATAATAATAGTCTCAGTGAGTAATTAATAAAAATTTAAAAATAAATAAAATAACACAAAGCTTCTAAAATTGTTTATTTTTTTGTGGAAAATTAGGATATTCTTATGATTGAAGGTAACAAATATTAAAAATTACATTATTCATTGAATCCATACGCAAGTGTGAAGGGAATGGCTAGATTCATTATTATTACCGTATGGTCGAAAAAAAACGACGTCCAGTTGGCTTGTAAATGACGATCGACGACATTCCCCATATAATGTTACATATAAAATGACAGCAATCTTCATTTCATAGCTATCGCTGACGCCGTCTTTTTTCGATGTCGTTTTGTATAGTTTTTATGTCATTTTATATGTAGAATTATATGGGGAATATCATCGATCGTAATTTACAAGCCAACTGGACGTCGTTTTTTTTCGATTATACGGTATAATAATGAATCTAGTCAATTCCCTTCACACTTGCTTACGGATTCAATGAATAATGTAATTTTTAATATTCATTTGTGAAATTGTCATTTCCAAACAAACAAGATGCCGTTTTTTTCGATCATACAGTATATATGTATATACACGTTCAAAATATATGTTATTACGTTATTTTTTATTTAATTATACATTATACACACGTTAATAAATAAATAATTGTCTTGATAATCAGTCCACTGTGACTGTTAAATAAATTTTGCATTATCGACTTAGATATTCTAATATTATAAAGATGAGACTATAAAATACAAAATTGTATATGCATTACTCAAAAATGAACGATATATTAGTTTACGTTTTAATAAATATTTTGTACCGTCTAGGCACAAGCTAATTTCTGATGCTACGCCATTGGAGAATTTCGCGTGGTGACAACTTGCCTCACTTTCAGCTGCTGTGTTACAAGTCCCCTCTCTTTCCTTGTCTAAGAAAATAATATTTTCTTAAGCGAAAATGTCCAAAGCTGACATATGATATGTCATTCTATTCATAATCTCATTATCTATCCAACAATGTAAAAAATACCTAAGGTGCAATTTAAAATTTAAAAGTTATAGTCAATTCTGTTGAAACAGTGACTGAAATTATCTGAATACTTCACTCAATCCCGATTTATGTGGTATACGAATATACCAAATCTCGTTTTTTTTATCTGAAAAAATAAAAAAGTTATAGAACTGAGCCATTTTCGAGTATTAAAAAAATCTTTTTTTAAATGCAAATATGTACTTCCTGAATTGTTCTGTAATTATTCATGTACACTCTGTTATAATATGTCTATTTATTAAAATAATACACCGTATGATAAATTAATCTACAGTTTTATGCAGCTACCCGAAATACTGATCGATGTTATACACCATATGATTTTACACACTTCTTTACACACCAAATTTCATCGATGGGAATGTCTAAGCTAATTTTACGCCTGAAGATGACATTTTTTATGTGTTATATTATTAGTAATTGTAATTATTTTCGTTTCAGATGGTTATTATATATTATTCTTATTTTTCATTCTATTTTCAGACGGAACAAAGAAGATCGGAGCATGGTCCAACAGGGCTAAGTCGTCTGCGAGAACTTTTGCAACCCGGATTTTTACCACCATATGTAATTGTACCAATACAGTGCGGAGTACTCTTATTGCTCGCAACAATAGTAATTAGGAAAATCGTACAGAAATCTTCCTCTAACATATAGTCGACTTCGTATGGTTGTTACTCAAATAAAAGACAAAAAACTCGTGATATGTACGTAGCTATTGTGTTTAAGTATTTACTTACTAATATAATGATTTAAGTTATTTATATGAAATTGAATGATAATAGAAAAGTCACACAAAAAAGGCGAAAATAATTCAATAAGTATATCAAATATTCGCATTTGTTACACTTACACGCTTTGAGAAGAAGACTCGAACAATCAATATATATTCAACAATAATTGTTGCTTTGGCAACTTCACTCTCGAGTTATCAAGGAGCGATATCTAAAAAAACTAATTTTTCCTGAAATAATTGTATGATGATAAAAGAAAACAATTTCAAAGAAAATGAGAAAAAATAACTATGGATATATTAAAATTTACAAAAGCATTACAAATAGCTTATAATTTAATAACAATATCATTTGACACAAAAAGATAATAGTAGGTATACTTATGTAGATCAAGTATTCAATGTGACCAGAACAACGCATTATAAAAAATTACCTTTGTGTACCCTAAACTGTTTGGTCAATGATCTAAAATTTAAGTGATCAGTTTAACTTCGAATAATAAAATCTTAACAGGAATAACTAAAATCTATCCAACGAGTCAGGGAAGATTTCGACAGACGACAGCCAAAAATGACAGATAATACAATTTACCTGCGAATTAAAATGGCAGACAACTGTCACTGTCTTGTATGCTCTCGTTGGGCAGACTATATTATCATAATTTTAATTAACAAATTTTATAAAAACGTATCAACCAATATATCCATAAAAAATGAAGCATAGCAAGGTTGATTCTCACTAAACGTTCCATCTTCGTTGCATACGTGTTGCCAGTGTACGTAAAATAACGTTTACGGAACTGATGCATCCAAAGGAGGACGCCCACAGAATCAACTCGGACCGGTCGACTCGACTAAGAGCTATCAGAGGGTTTTGGTATTACCCTTGTATATCAGGGTATTGCATAGAAATAAATATAATCCCGTGCACTAAACCGGACCGGTGGACGGAATTCGACGAGTGTGCAGGACGATTAATTGCGCGGTACAACATTATTTATTTCTATGTATACCAAAACCTGCCGTTAGCTCTTTAGGCCAGTCAATCTGGAGGTTGAGGTGGAAAAAATTAGTAACCAACCGATCTCAACGAGAATGTGTAGATAATGATCTCCTATTTAACCCCTCAAAAGTCCCATTCGGTCCCAGTGGGGGAAGTTTGAAAAAAAACGCCGCCATCTTGGATTTTTTCAAATATCTCCGTTTGCATAACTTTTGTCGAAAAAACTAAAAATGTGTTTTTTTCTAGAGAATTAAATTTAGATCATTACCATCAATATTTTTTTTCTAAAATAAATAGTAATAGAGAGAGCAATTTTTTACTGTACGGTCTATAAATTTTCCAGTTTTTTAAACCAATCAGCTATAATTTTTGCGTTAACAGTACAGTGTTAGTATACATAAACCAAGTATAAATTTAAGCATTAAAACAATTAAAAATAACGTTTAAATATTATTTATTAAATAAAATTATTGTTAAAAAAATTATTATTAAATTAAAGTTATTAAATAAAATCTACTAAGACGTCATCCTGAACGTCATTTTCGTCCTCAACTAAAATACAAAAGTTTGTGCAACTGATTCGGTAGCATTGACCACACCTTGAAGTGAACATTTGAAACATTTAAAAGCCAGTTTTCTACAAGAGCAATGTTTAGAGCACTGACTCTCTTTGCAATTGCAAAATATTAATTTTAGTAGGTCTGGGGGCACCACATCTTCTGTTAATTGAATAGGTGTCAGATTGCCTTTTTGATCTTTCTTCCATCCATATTTTAAAGGATCTAACTTGTTACCAATCCATTCTTGAATCTAAAAAATACAACTTATAACATTTCCTATAATAGTTAATAATATATATTATATTGTTAATAATATAATTTGCCTCCAACTGAGAACTCTGCAAAACTCCATTTACTGAGGACATACTTTCAGGTAACTGTAAAGATATATCTATTATAGGAAATGTTATAAGTTGTATCTTTTAGATTCAAGAATGGATTGGTAACAAGTTAGATCCTTTACAATATGGATGGAAGAAAGATCAAAAAGGCAATCTGACACCTATTCAATCATTATATATATTATCATATTATAGCCTCCTGACCTACTAAAATTAATTTTTTGCAATTGGAAAGAGAGTCAGTGCTCTAAAAATTGTTCTTGTAGAAAGCTGCGTTTTGCATGTTCTTCAAAGTGTGGTCAGTGCTACGGAATCAGTTGCACAAACTTTTGTATTTTCGTTGAGGCTAAAATGTCGCTCAGGATGACGTCATAACAGATATTATTTAATAACTTTAATTTAATAATAATTTTTTTAACAATAATTTTATTTAATAAATAATATTTAAACGTTATTTTTAATTGTTTTAATGTTTAAATGTATACTTGGTTTATCTATATTAACACTATATAACTATAACACATAACACTGCAAGAAATTTGTTTTCTATTAAAATTAGGTGAACAAACTTCTACGGCTAATTGAAACTACTAATTTATTTCAATGATTTCGAGGTTCAGAATCAAGCTATAGGGTTGCTATAGGGTTTGATTGAATAACTCCATTTTATTTTTCAAAATTTTTAACTTTTGTGAAACATTTTTTTTTACTTGTAAATGCAATAAATTAATTTTAAAATTAAATAAACCACTGATAAAGATATCCACATAAAAACCCCTTCAGAACTAAAAAATAAATAATATGCATTTAAAATTTCAATATCACTTATGTTTCGAGTTCCAGATTAATATAGACTGTTCCATAAGTTAACGCATCTAGACACGATAGCTTACAGCATTACAAAAGCGTACATTAGCATACAGCGTACAGTTAAAATAAACGTACTGTAAATAAACCTGAAAGAATATACCACTCATTTGATTCTACATACTCGTATGTATGTGTATTAACTTACCTACGTTATTTTTTATTATAGTTAATCATATTAGTATAAATGTACTATAAAGTTCATAATGTACTGCTTTGTCAGAACTACAATAGCCACAGTCCCACTTATAAGTTAGTTTGTAGCATAGCTTAAGTGATGTAAACCAACAAATTGATACCAAAGCTTATTCAGAATTAGAGCTGGCCATCTTCGCTTGTTTTTTTTTTAATTTTGTTACAATTATTACTACAACATAATAGTATAAGCCTATGATTTAATTTACTACAAACGCAAGAATATCCAGTCACAGGTTGGTCGACCCCAAAAATATTTCAGTAAAGTTTGAACATAATTTTACACATTATAATTGTACATACATACATATATGTACATAACAATAATGCATTTATCCCAAAAACTTAAAATTTCTAGACTGAATCTTAATCATTGCCTGATTGCCTTTAAGAAAAGTCTATGAATAAAGAAAACAAATTATTTTCAATTCATTACTATGTTTTAAAACAAACTACTACATTTACAGTTTAATTGACAATATCTTCCATTAATACAGGTAATTGCTTAACGTATCCATACAAGGTGTTTCAAAAAACACTTGATGACTTGTTTTTATAACTAATATTTAATAAAAATAGTTTGTGTAATAGTTAAATTAATATAAAACATAAATAACACTAAGTGAGAGTTGAAATAAAATAGTCTCATTATATTACATCGTGTACCAAAAAATGATATCTTCTAGATATTATATGCCTTCCATTTTTGAGACACCCTGTATTGCTTAGTATTACCGAGCTGGAGATAAAAAAATCAAATCGTTCATCAAAACAGTTGGAAAACACATTAGACGCCCCCGAATTAGCACTCTAGATGCACAGAAATCGGAAAAAATGGGACACAATCTATTTTTATGTAATAAGACATATTCAGAAGGTAAATATTCATATATAACAGTAAATTTCATAATCGTAATAGTTTTCTTCTGAAATTCTATAATATATAGAAAAATATGATAGAATGTTAATAATTAGAACGTTACATATATTGCTGTGTTATTAAATTTTAATTATTAGTTGCCAATCACTATAAGTATTGTTATTACTGCCAAGCTTTTTTCGTCAGTTATATATTTATTGTTAAATTTAGCGATACAGATTACAGACAATATAAAAATGTTTGAAGTTAAACTCTTAACTAATCATTACTACAAATATTCTGTTAACTTTATTGAATAAATATATTGTTCCGCTAATTAAAATAATAAATTCAGATAAAGGAATCTACACAATGTAACAATGTATGATAGACAATGTAGCAATAATCTATGATACACAATGTAACAATGTATGAGACATCATTTGCTATAAATTTATAACACAAAGGAATTATGTGATAAATTTAGAGAATGATAGATGTAGAATGTAGAATGAGTAAGAGGGGGGTTAATCACTACGACCTTAAATATCTATTGTGCCCCCCTTCCTTGAATCATCACACAGTCTATAACCCATCATACCCCTGTTGTAGAGGGGACAGGGTATTTCCCATCCTCCTCTGACAACAGTTCTTCCTCCGAGGGTACACACCCTTCCACGGTTGGAGTTTGGCCCTCCGTGCCGCCCTTCACAGTCGAGGGGCTTGCCTCCGGCTGAGGAATCCGTGAGGTGGTGGCTGGAGGATCTGTCTCCATTTTCTCCACCTCTTTAACTTGGTCTCTTCTTAGACCTGATATCGGTGTTGTCCCGTATCTATAATAGAGGATATGTCCCTCTTTCTCTATTGCCTCCTTGGATTTGAGGTCAATTCCTATTGTGAGGACCTGACCATGACCCTCCTCCCTCGAGTTGATAACTCGCCAACTCGATGTCCTTACATTGAAGTTCTGACCCTGAATAAGGCTCAGCAGGTAGATGGTGTCTCTCCCCTTGCTCCTCGGCAGAAAGACCGTGATGGCCGCCCCTTTAGGGATGTTTTCTCCCTTCACTGCAACCAGTTCCGACCCTTACCAATTTTTAAGCTTAGGTGCGATTTCCACCAACCAATTCGCCGATTCTTAAGATACACAATCTATGAGGATCATGCCCACCCGAAAGTGTATTGCGAGAATGATAGATATTCGCAGTACTATTTGAATATTATGTCTGTCCTTTTCTAATAATTTACAGGTAGTCCTCGATTTACGTCGTTTCGTGTTACGTCGTTTCGAGTTACGTCGAACAAATTTTTGTCACTATTCCTCAAAGTTACGTCCCACTGTTTCGAGTTACGTCATTTTTTGAAAAGAACGATCCAAATTTTAAAAGAAGTTTGGACATAAACAATAAAATTTAGCAACATACAAGCAGGGTTGACAGATCCTCATAATGAAAAAGCGGGGGACAGTGTTGATCATTACTTAATTAGCAACTATTACGACTTTTGACGATACCCATTAAGTTCCAACCAAAAAAAAAATATATATACTTTCTAAATATCTCTACTTTACTCTCTGGTATTTCTGTAGTTGCCATATTAGTATATATGTATTATATTTACTATTATATGGATAGTTAAAAATACTTTTTTAATTAGATAATAAAAAATCGGGATTGTAAAAATAATCGCCCTAATTTGTTTTTCATAAAAAAAATACTTTTTTTATTTTTATTTTTTTTCGTTTATTTTTGTTTCTTGTATTATTATAAGTTTAACTACATTACAATACGCTGTTTCTCATACCTCAATTATTTAAAAATAGAATAATATTAATATATACAAACGCGCATGTCTTTGTTTTATCCTATTTTTATCTTACAAAACTACCTAACTTCTCCATATAGGAACTTATGACAAAATAAGATTCGACTTACGTCGTTTCGACTTAAGGCGCTATTTTGAAGAACCTAACCTACCGTAAGTACGAGGACTGCCTGTACTTACTTACTGCCATTACTCGGCGACGAGTATTTGACACGCATCAGGAGATGATTACGCAGGGCTTCTTCTTTCATGCGCTTTTCTATGACTGAAAAGCTCATCACGATATATCTAACATAAAAGACTTATTTTTATGTTTTTAAAATTCTTTATTAAATTAAATGATTTCTGGGTGTTTTTAAATCATTTATTTGCCCAAACCAAAACAAAACACACAGAAATCATTTAATTTTTAATAAAGAAACCTATACCCAAGAAAATCACAATTAAAATATAAAAGATGACATCACGTATCGGGCTCTTCTAAAGCCCGATACGTGATGTTATTTCTCTTCCGCACTC